AGTGCTTTACCCATAGATACTATTACACTTCAATCAAGATTTGAGCATTCTTTACGATTCTTGAGGTCTCGTTCTTTTTTTATAGAAATAAAGAGCAGGGAATCATTTTACTAAAAAAAGCTGTATAATTTTTGATGCTTTAATATTTGCTCCTAAAAGTAGACAATAAAAATTTAAGTTTTCGTTTTTCTATCTGATGTGTCATTTTTTCCAAGCTATTGAATATTTTATTTTTTATATATACATTTTTTTTCTAGCCAGTATGACATTGACAACGCATAAAAGTAAAGCAAGTTAAATATTTTTTAATCTAATTAACTGCATTTTACCCTTTTAACATAGGAATAAATTTTCCATTTAACTACTTACACCAAATAAAAATTGTTAGTAAAAAACAAAGAAACTTTTTATAAAATTATAAATGTCCGAGATATACAGATAAATGTATATAAAACATTAATTGTAGTATAATATATTTTAGATATTAATCAAAAGTTCCTTTCACAATCCACACTTAAATTAAATAATATTTAAGTGTTTACACTAGGAAGAAAAGTGTCATTTAAAGTTCAAATATATTGATTTAAACATTATAGGCATTACAAAGTTGGCTATACAATTTATAAAAAGTTTTTTATTACTAGAACAATCCATGGCATAATATTATTTCTGTAATCTGTTATACTTTTTCCAGACAGTGTTCTAAGCTTTTTCGTGAGGAGAAGGAGACATTCATGAGTCATTTTCTATTGTGTTATCCTACAGACAAAGTGATATTTGCATCAAATAAATCGTTTCTTCGCTGACCTGCAGGAAATTACAAAAGAAGACTATTGTCGAATTTACTTAGTTTCATTTGGAAGACCAAATTATTATAATCACAACAATAGAAACAGCGATAGGAAAGCTCGCCATTTTCTACCAATTTTGAGGACAATACAAGTTAAGTTAAGTAAAAATGGCGACTTTAAACCCAAAGCTTTACTTGAGCTCAAATAATGACCAGTTTCTATACTACGGAGAGGGCAGTACAAAAGGCAATAAATCTCATGATTATCTCCAGAATTTCTTTGGATCTATTCTGATTTCTAAAATTTATAGAATCATATTTAGATATAAATTATTATTCTGTACAAGTTCATATAGTAAAATATCGTATCTGTACTACAATTTTCTACTAATTTTTTTGTTGAGTGCTACTAACTACCGGTATGTGTACGTTCAAATTATAATCCTCTTAAGTAATTTTAGCAACATTCTGCCAACGTTTGTCGCACTTTTGCCTATTTATTTGCATATTTGCCACATGTTTGCCCCCAAAGTTGCGTAGTTGGCTTTTTTATTGCCTTTGCTATTCTTGGTAGCCCTTTTTTTGATAGCCTTCAACTGTCACGATTATGATTACATATCGAGCAATTCTTCATATGTGAGTTTGAATGTTTTCCGAATACAAAGAAAATAAATCATTTTTTCTTGACGCCAAATGAGTTGGAAAAATGGAAAGCTTTCCTTTCCTTATTGTTAAGAGAAGAGCTTTTACGCTCTTTTCACAGTCAACAAATTGAGTGAATTTAATTAATAATAAAACTGAGCAATGTTGGCTATTTACATCATTCTAGTAACAGTTGTTTTGGACAGTCTACTGTTAACTAACATAGCTGAGAGCTCAGTGAGTTTGCTTTCAAATCGCCACAGTAATGCAGGTAACTAAAAAATAAGAAAGAAAATATTATAGAACTATTATTTCTATTATTATTATTTCTATTATTTATTATAATTACTTGTGGATTCATTGCACTAACACATAAAACAATACTAGAACGAAATTACTATTTAAAACAATGAAAACATACAGAACGAATAATGGTACCCAAACCAAACCCATCCGATACCAACTTGCCTCTATACTTCCCAGTTAAATTAACTAAAATATTCTACAACTTATTTAAAACAATTAGTTTTAGTTTTAATACTGGATGTACTTTTAATCACACAAAGCCATCAGTTGTAATCACCAGATTGCTTAAAAATTAACTGATATATATAAGAAAAAGCGGTATTTCACTCTGGTATTACTTGACATCCAGTAATATTTTGATAAAATTAACATTTAGATATTTTTAAAAAAATTTTGAGCAACTTTCCACACCATATTTCTAGATTGAAAAGTATTTAAAATTTTGGCATGTCTTAATGTCTACAATCAAAAACCTGTATATTGTATATGAGCCAGTGATGTATCCAGGGTTGAGATATAGCTCGCGCCCTTGACAAAGTACTTTACAATATAAAAACAATGCTAAAATTCATATATTATTTTCTAATATATAATAACGTAGAAATCGCAACGTATCCAAAAGATATAGCAACATTCGGTACTTATACCCAACACACTTTCAAACTATAGTCGCTAGCTATAGTGGTTCTCTTCAGCCAACAACTATAGCCTAATCATGCACAGTACTGTAAAAAAACATTTACTGAACTTCATTCTAGATTTTGAGCTACTCTAACTTATTACTGTAGTTAATCAATAAAATAGCCCTGCCAGTAAGAGGTTACCAAATTCTCGAGGTAAGACATACCTGTCGTAAGAGGCGATTGAAAATAAGTTTAAATTAAGCATTGACTTAACCTAATACTATTTAGAGTATGTTTAGTAGTGAGTAGGTTTTACTTGCGCCAGTCAACTGGTGGTGTAGCACAGGAATCAGAATTCATAGCTCTGGCTGCTCTACCCAATAGAGATTGGTCCTTTTAATTAGAATATTGGAACAGCTAAAACCCACCCAGTTAAAACCCACAGTATCACGGGCAAATTACTATATATATTTCTTTCATTTGATTTAGACTTGATTTTTCAGTCGGGTGCAGTGACCTAAGGAACAGAAGAAGTGTTAGATTGGCTTTCCTCCATCCCAAGAAGGAAACCACATTCAAACGTTTATTTTTAATTAGCACGGGCAGAATGCTTTGGTACTCTAATCGTGGCATGTATCTGCAATTAAGTTGATAACGGCAGATAATTACATTAAAAACTGGGGACTCTGTACTTTAATCATGGGTTTCGCATTAACGTGTAACATCGCAATATATGTAGATTCAGCTTAGCTGAATTAATAAATGCGTCTCTTGAATTGGAGCATTAAAATTTTTGGAAGTTTCTTTAACACTAAGAAGAAAAAGGAGGTTATAATTATATCTACTATAGTATGAGTTTATAATATACTTGATAATATGTTGGGACCAAAGGCTTTCCCGGAAAAGGCATACACAGCCCAAGTAGTTCCAACTCGTTGTTAGAAACGATTACTCTATATGAAAACAATTTAATCCAGTAATTATTATATATGAAACTCGGTCATTATAAAAAACACATATTAAAAAAATAATTAATATTTTTCATTCTTGTAAGGTGGCTACTGACTGCTTGTACTTTCTTTGCATGTAGATGCTTAATAGATATTTTAAAGTAATTCCAACTTACTGAAATAACACTACGAAATATATAAATATAGGAAATTAACATTAGAAAAAATTTAGGAAAAAAAGATTTAAAATAAGAAAACACTCTTAACATTTTCAAACTAAAATGCCGAATGTTTGTTTAGAATTCAGGAGATTATTGTAATGTGCTCCTGTATTTGTTCTCTCTGGCTCTGTACCGGGAACCACTTGTTGCCTTCGCATGATTCATTTTTACTTTCCTTCAACCAAACGAAACCAAGCCAAACGGCGAAACGGTTCTGCTTTTGTAATTTCTCTGCACAAGCACAGACTTTGTCCATTCAATGGAGGGAAGGTTATGTAAAAGTTCACCTTTCCACCTTGTGTACATCGATTTAGGCACATTTAAGCCAAGTCAACACATGTGCAAATATTTCATTTTTGTTTTATGTTTTAATTTTATATTTTATATTTGGTTTTACTCTTGTTTCTGGCGTTTCTATTTTATAGACCTCTCTTGTCTGCGATTACACAGAAGGGCTGAGCATAATGTTATTTGCCAAAAGCTCGAAAAATTGCGAACCAAATGGATTTCACAGCCAGTAACCAAAACACCACCGTTGCATTAATAGTACGCTTACTCGATCCTATTTTATTAAATTTATTTAATTAGTGTTAAGTGTTTAGTATTAAAAAAAATAATGAATAATTTTTATTATAAATTATAAAAATAATATTTATAAGAAAAGTGTTTAATTTTATTAATAAATTAATAAATATATAAAAATCATAAGGATAACAGAACGAGTCCTTCAGGTCAGCTGATACCCTTATTGACTTCCTACAAATTTGGCTGACTATGTTAGTTAATCTAAGGCAGAGCCCAAGACAGGTGAGTGACATAAAAGGATATGGAAAATATTTGTGTTATAATATACAAAATTAAATGAATAATAATTTTTTTTAACAATGAGATAGGAATTATCATTTTTATATGTCATTTATGCAATTAACATTA